CTGAAATACTCTGCGCTGCTGGAGGACTCCGCTCCTTCCTCTATAACTCTCCTGAAATACTCTGCACTGCTGGAGGACTCCGCTCCTTCCTCCCCTAGCAACAGAGGTTTGCCCCCTAGCAACAGAGCTTTGCCCCCTAGCAACCTCTGGAAGAACTGTAGGGACCCCTGGATGAGAAAGGCATTAGTATGTGCAGGGAAGACGCTGACTTACAGTTCTGAGCACCATAAATACATATAAACAATCAAATCTTCTTTCCTTCATATGGATCCAGAACATATAATTACTAGAGGAACTCCCAGCACTGCAGTGTAATTGGAGGGCCCACGTGCAGTGTTACCTTTTCCTAGTATGCTCGTGCCATCTGATGGGATGGGGGGAACTCTGATGGGATGGGGGAACTCTGATGGGATGGGGGGGAACTCTGATGGGATGGGGGAACTCTGATGGGATGGGGGGAACTCTGATGGGATGGGGGGAACTCTGATGGGATGGGGGGAACTCTGATGGGATGGGGGAACTCTGATGGGATGGGGGGAACTCTGATGGGATGGGGGGAACTCTGATGGGATGGGGGGAACTCTGATGGGATGGGGAGAACTCTGATGGGATGGGGAGACTCTGATGGGATGGGGAGAACTCTGATGGGATAGGGAGAACTCTGATGGGATAGGGAGAACTCTGATTGGATGGGGAGAACTCTGATGGGATGGGGGAACTCTGATGGGATGGGGAGAACTTTGATGGGATGGGGAGAACTCTGATGGGATGGGGGGAACTCTGATGTGATGGGGGGAACTCTGATGTGATGGGGGGGAACTCTGATGGGATGGGGAGAACTCTGATGGGATGGGGAGAACTCTGATGGGATGGGGAGAACTCTGATGGGATGGGGATAGAACTCTGATGGGATGGGGAGAACTCTGATGGGATGGGGGAACTCTGATGGGATGGGGAACTCCGATGGGATGGGGGAACTCCAATGGGATGATGGGGAGAACTCCGATGGGATGGGGAGAACTTTGATGGGATGGGGGAACTCTGATGTGATGGGGGGAACTCTGATGTGATGGGGGGAACTCTGATGGGATGGGAAGAACTCTGATGGGATGGGGAGAACTCTGATGGGATGGGGAGAAACTTTGATGGGATGGGGAGAACTCTGATGGGATGGGGGGAACTCTGATGTGATGGGGGGAACTCTGATGGGATGGGAAGAACTCTGATGGGATGGGGAGAACTTTGATGGGATGGAGAGAACTCTGATGGGATGGGGAGAACTCTGATGTGATGGGGGACCTCTGATGGGATGGAGAGAACTCTGATGGGATGGGGGAACTCTGCTGGGATGGGGGGAACTCTGATGGGATGGGGGGAACTCTGATGGGATGGGGGGAACTCTGATGGGATGGGGGAACTCTGATGGGATGGGAGAACTCTGATGGGATGGGGAGAACTCTGATGGGATGGGGAGAACTCTGGTGGGATGGGGGACCTCTGATGGGATGGGGAGAACTCTGATGGGATGGGGGACCTCTGATGGGATGGGGGACCTCTGTTGGGATGGGGAGAACTCTGATGGGATGGGGGGAACTCTGCTGGGATGGAGGGACCTCCGATGTGATGGGGAACCTCTGATGTGATGGGGGGAACTCTGATGGGATGGGGGACCTCCGTTGGGATAGGGGGACCTCTGATGGGATGGGGGACCTCTGATGGGATGGGGGACCTCTGTTGGGATAGGGAGAACTCTGATGGGATGGGGGACCTCTGATGGGATGGGGAGAACTCTGACGGGATGGGGGACCTCTGATGGGATGGGGGACCTCTGTTGGGATAGGGAGAACTCTGATGGGATGAGGGACCTCTGATGGGATGGAGAGAACTCTGATGGGATGGGGAGAACTCTGATGGGATGGGGAGAACTCTGATGGGATGGGGAGAACTCTGATGGGATGGGGAGAACTCTGATGGGATGGAGAGAACTCTGATGGGATAGAGAGAACTCTGCTGGGATGGAGGGACCTCCGATGTGATGGGGGAACCTCTGATGTGATGGGGGGGGAACTCTGATGTGATGGGGAACATCTGATGTGATGGGGAACCTCTGATGTGATGGGGGAACCTCTGATGTGATGAGGGAACCTCTGATGGGATGAGGGAACCTCTGATGGGATGGGGGAACCTCTGATGTTAAGGGAACCTCTGATGTGATGGGGGGGGGGGGGGCAAGTGGAAATCTTAGGTCCGGGGGGGATCTGTGATGTGATGGGGGGGATTTTGATGTGATTGAGGACCTCTAATGTCATCGGAGGGAGTCTGATGTTATGGGGGAACCTCTAATGTGATGGGGGAACTTTTGAAGGACACTAGTTGAGAAAAGCTGCTTTCGATGCTCGGTGCGCTCTCTCTACCCATCTTCTACACCCGTATTAGTAGGTTGATCCGTGGTGTGCGGGTTCAAGCCCCCTATGTATCAGTATTGGTCACAGTGGTGTGCCGACCTTTATTGTGCATTTCGGTAGCCTGGCCCAGAAAGGAGAACGTTGGGGGGGGCTCCAACCATGGTGTGACCACCTCTCCTCCCAATCAGACCCCGTCCATCTCCCAGCCATAGCCCCTCTATAACAATACATGGGAAAGGACAGTAGACTTGCCTGTGACTTCTCCCGGCGATCCTTCTGGATGTATCCGGGGACACAAAGCCGTGCCGGGCCCCTCATCCTTGTCCTCTCCCTGATCCGGGGCCTGGTCCGAGCACGTGCCTACCAGCAATGAATGTCCCTTTTATTGACCCGCCTTTGATGCCTCTTGGCTGCAGTCAGCAGACACGCTGTGTGTGACTTCATGTTGTGGACGCCCCGCGCGCTGAATTAGACTTTTTTTTTTTTACAGCCGACGGAACTCCCATGTCACCGGTTTATGGCCTGTTCAGGGGCAGAAAGGCCTGGAAATTGGGCAGCCGTGCGGAGGGGGTCAGCGGGCTACAGGAGGGGTGAAGGCTGGGGCGCAGGAAGGAGCGTTCCAGAAGAAGTCTAGTTACAGGAGGGAACCCCGAAAACTGATAACAACAGCGTACAGGACAGAGATAGGCAAACATGGCAACAGGTCACCCAAATCCAGCCCCATAGACAACAAAGGGGTCTAATGATCCTTTTACACTGTGTATGGGCCTGGACATCCGATTGGTAGGATAATACTGGAACAGTCTCTGGTTCTGACACCATAACAGTCTCTGGTTCTGACACCATAACAGTCTCTGGTTCTGACACCATACCAGTCTCTGGTTCTGACACCATAACAGTCTCTGGTTCAGACACCATAACAGTCTCTGGTTCTGACACCATAACAGTCTCTGGTTCTGACACCATAACAGTCTCTGGTTCTGACACCATAACAGTCTCTGGTTCTGACACCATAACAGTCTCTGGTTCTGACACCATAACAGTCTCTGGTTCTGACACCATAACAGTCTCTGGTACTGACACCATAACAGTCTCAGAACCAGAGACTGGTATGGTGTCTGAACCAGAGACTGGTATGGTGTCTGAACCAGACACCATAACAGTCTCTGGTTCAGACACCATACCAGTCTCTGGTTCTGACACCATACCAGTCTCTGGTTCTGACACCATAACAGTCTCTGGTTCTGACACCATAACAGTCTCTGGTTCTGACACCATAACAGTCTCTGGTTCTGACACCATAACAGTCTCTGGTTCTGACACCATAACAGTCTCTGGTTCTGACACCATAACAGTCTCTGGTTCAGACACCATACCAGTCTCTGGTTCTGACACCATACCAGTCTCTGGTTCTGACACCATAACAGTCTCTGGTTCTGACACCATAACAGTCTCTGGTTCTGACACCATAACAGTCTCTGGTTCTGACACCATAACAGTCTCTGGTTCTGACACCATAACAGTCTCTGGTTCTAGCAACATAACAGTCTCTGGTTCTGACACCATAACAGTCTCTGGTTCTGACACCATAACAGTCTCTGGTTCTGACACCATAACAGTCTCTGGTTCTGACACCATAACAGTCTCTGGTTCTACCAACATAACAGTCTCTGGTTCTGACACCATAACAGTCTCTGGTTCTGACACCATAACAGTCTCTGGTTCTGACACCATAACAGTCTCTGGTTCTACCAACATAACAGTCTCTGGTTCTGACACCACAACAGTCTCTGGTTCTAACACCATAACAGTCTCTGGTTCTGACACCATAACAGTCTCTGGTTCTGACACCATAACAGTCTCTGGTTCTGACACCATAACAGTCTCTGGTTCTGACACCATAACAGTCTCTGGTTCTGACACCATAACAGTCTCTGGTTCTGACACCATAACAGTCTCTGGTTCTGACACCATAACAGTCTCTGGTTCTAACAACCTATTTTTACAGTATAATACTAACAGTCTCTTGTTATAATACCAGAACCAGCCCTTGCTATGAATCCACAGCAGTCTCTTATTATAATTCAGTCATTCATCTCCAGCATGCCCTGGCAGTATTATTTCCAGTAACACCCAGGACTTTTTTTTCTCAGAGAACAGGTGCAGGTACTCCCCCCTTCCGAGACACCCCTTGTCTCCGCCCCCTACCCAATTCTGAGCACTGTCCCTTGGTTCCACCCCCTACCCACCACTGAGCACTGTCCCTTGGTTCCACCCCCTACCCACCACTGAGCACTGTCCCTCAGTTCCACCTCCTCTACCCACCTCTGAGCACCGTCCCTTGGTTCCACCCCCTACCCACCTCTGAGCACTGTCCTTCGGTTCCACTCCCTACCCACCACTGAGCACCGTCCCTTGGTTCCACCCCCTACCCACCTCTGAGCACCGTCCCTTGGTTCCACCCCCTACCCACCTCCTAGCACCGTCCCTTGGTTCCACCCCCTACCCACCTCTGAGCACCGTCCCTTGGTTCCACCCCCTACCCACCTCTGAGCACCGTCCCTTGGTTCCACCCCCTACCCACCTCTGAGCACCGTCCCTTGGTTCCACCCCCTACCCACCTCTGAGCACCGTCCCTTGGTTCCACCCCCTACCCACCTCCGAGCACCGTCCCTTGGTTCCACCCCCTACCCACCTCCGAGCACCGTCCCTTGGTTCCACCCCCTACCCACCTCCGAGCACCGTCCCTTGGTTCCACCCCCTACCCACCTCCGAGCACCGTCCCTTGGTTCCACCCCCTACCCACCTCCGAGCACTGTCCCTTGGTTCCACCCCAGACCCACCTCTGAGCACCGTCCCTTGGTTCCACCCCCTACCCACCTCTGAGCACTGTCCCTTGGTTCCACCCCCTACCCACCTCTAAGCACTGTCCCTTGGTTCCAACCCAGACCCACCTCTGAGCACCGTCCCTTGGTTCCACCCCAGACCCACCTCTGAGCACTGTCCCTTGGTTCCACCCCCTACCCACCTCTGAGCACTGTCCTTTGGTTCCACCCCCTACCCACATTGAGCACTGTCCCTTGGTTCCACCCACCTCTGATCACCATCTCTTGGTTCCTCCCCTACCTACCTCCCAGTACCACCCCTTTTTAGAGAATATAGAATTAAGTATCATTTTGTGGTTCGAAGTAATTTTTTATGGAATGTGCTAATGATTACAAGATAAGCAGTAAAATAAATCACCTGCAGCCAACAACAATAGACCCCCCTAGTAACAATAGACCCCTCTCCAGCAACAATACATTCTTCCAAGCAACAATATAGACTTCCCCAGCAACAATAGTTTTTCCACTCCCCAGCAACAATAGAGCCACCCCAACAACAATTGACCCCCATCAGCAACAATAGATCTCCCAGCAGCCAGCATCAGTAGACTCCTCCCCCAAAATAGATCCCTCCCAGCAACAATTGACCCCCCCCCACAGAAACATTAGACCTTCCCAGCAACAATAAATGATTTCCAACAACAATAGACCCCCTCAGCAACAATAGATCCATGCCAACAACAATAGACCCCTGCCAGCAACAATAGATTTCACTGTAGCTAGCTTCGGTACACCCCTCACTCAACAGTAGATCACGCCCAGTTACAATTGACCCCTCTCCAACATCAATTAATCCTTCTAAGCAACAATAGACCCCTCCCGAACAACAATTCATCCCTCCCAGCAACATAAGTCCCCCCAGCAACAACAGATCCACTCCAACAACAATTGACCCCCATCAGCAACAATAGATCTCCAAGCAACCAGCATCAGTAGACCCCTCCCTCAACATTAGATTCCTCCCGGCAACAACTGAGCCCCCCAGCAACAATGCATGTTCTCAGAAACAATAGACCCCCAGCAACAATAAATCCTTTCCAGCAACAATAGTTTTTCCGTCCCCCCCCCAGAAACAAAAGATCCACCACAACAATAGACCCCTGCCAGCAACAATAGATTTCATAGTAGCCAGCATTGATACACCTCTCCCTCAACAGTAGATCTCCTCAGTTACAATTGACCCCCCCACCATCAATAGATCACCCCCAGCAAATACAGATCCCCCACTAGCAACCAACCCCCCTCCCGACCATTGTCACCTCGCTATCTCTTGCAGAATAAGACGTGGTTCCAAAGACTTACGGGACCTGAGGACGCACATTTTCCCCGCGGCCGCCCCTTTTTGGGGGGGATTGCTTCTAACACAAGAGTAACAGTGAAGCACAAATTGTTGCCACCCAAAATGTTGTATGGAAAGGAATTTTCCCCTCTCATGTCTTTGGGACAGGCATCTTAGCAATATTTTGTCTCACAATGACCATCCAAGTAAATCATTGACATCTAAAAATATAAATAAATATATATGAAGCATGTACCCCCCCCCCCCCCCCCCACCCCAACTCCAGACTGTCACAAGGTAAGAGGTTGCAGCAGGGGCTGATCTGTGCTGCCAAAAACTGCACAGGCACCTGAGATTACAGGACGGTGTCATCTCTGAGCTGGCATGGGAAGTGGATGGCGATCCTGGATGATGCCTACACAAATATGGTGCAGTCCTTCTAGACAGCTATTGTCAGGGGGAGCTCTGTGATCTCTGGTCTGCTGGGGAAGCAGATGTGGTTGGGCCCCCTGAGTTTATGAGCAGCTCCTGCCCTCTTTACTGTGGACTACATCATCAACCTAGGTTGCAGTTCCTGCCCTTTTTGCTGCAGACTACTTCAGCAGTATAGGCAGCAGGTGCTGCCCTCTTTGTGGTGGACAACTGTGGAACCGTAAGTTGCCGATCCTGCCCTTTTTGCTGTGGGCTAGTTTAGCAGTATAGGCTTCAGCTCCTGCTTTCTTTGTAGAGGACTACTTGAGGAGCATAGGTTGCAGGTCCTGACCTCTTTGTGGTGGACTACTTCAGCAGCACATGTTGCAGTTCCTGCCCTCTTTGTGGTGGACTACTTCAGCAGCACAGGTTGCAGGTCCTGACCTCTTTGTGGTGGACTACTTCAGCAGCACATGTTGCAGTTCCTGCCCTCTTTGTGGTGGACTACTTCAGCAGCACAGGTTGCAGGTCCTGCCCTCTTTGTGGTGGACTACTTCAGCATCATAGGTTGCAGGTCCTGCCCTCTTTGTGGTGGACTACTTCAGCATCATAGGTTGCAGGTGCTGCCCTCTTTGAGGGGGACAACTGTGGAACCGTAAGTTGCAGATCCTGCCCTTTTTGCTGTGGGCTAGTTTAGCAGTATAGGCTTCAGCTCCTGCTTTCTTTGTAGAGGACTACTTGAGGAGCATAGGTTGCAGGTCCTGACCTCTTTGTGGTGGACTACTTCAGCAGCACATGTTGCAGTTCCTGCCCTCTTTGTGGTGGACTACTTCAGCAGCACAGGTTGCAGGTCCTGACCTCTTTGTGGTGGACTACTTCAGCAGCACATGTTGCAGTTCCTGCCCTCTTTGTGGTGGACTACTTCAGCATCATAGGTTGCAGGTCCTGGCCTCTTTGTGGTGGACTACTTCAGCATCATAGGTTGCAGGTGCTGCCCTCTTTGAGGGGGACAACTGTGGAACCGTAAGTTGCAGATCCTGCCCTTTTTGCTGTGGGCTAGTTTAACAGTATAGGCTTCAGCTCCTGCTTTCTTTGTAGAGGACTACTTGAGGAGCATAGGTTGCAGGTCCTGACCTCTTTGTGGTGGACTACTTCAGCAGCACATGTTGCAGTTCCTGCCCTCTTTGTGGTGGACTACTTCAGCAGCATAGGTTGCAGGTCCTGCCCTCTTTGTGGTGGACTACTTCAGCAGCACAGGTTGCAGGTCCTGCCCTCTTTGTGGTGGACTACTTCAGCAGCACAGGTTGCAGGTCCTGCCCTCTTTGTGGTGGACTACTTCAGCATCATAGGTTGCAGGTCCTGCCCTCTTTGTGGTGGACTACTTCAGCATCATATATAGACAAAAAAGGTGCAGCGCTAGTGAAAGTATCAACATTCATTCAGTATATAGAATAGAAAAAACAAAAAAGAAGACATAAGGTCATAAGATCGATCATAAAAGTTCGATGTTCAATCCAGTGTCCATGAACATGCAAAAGGGGTACGGTGTGTCAATTTTACCCGGTCTCCTCTGCAGATCAGGGCGAGTGATCCAAGTGTGTAGGGGGGCTACAGCACCTGGACATCTTACCCCTTTTTGCGGTCAGTACTTTCATTTAATCCTGTGTCATTTTTTGAATAAAGTGTTTATGCAGTATCACGCTATGTGATGTCCCTTATTGGGCTCTTCATGAGCACCACCCTTTCACAGCACCAAGGTTAAGGAGGGACTCCAGAGATGTATGAGTGCCTTATGTACCATGGAACCTGACCAGGAGGGATGACCAATGAGAACTAGGGAACGCGGCTTCACCAGAGAGTGTGGAGAACCTAGATGCATCTGAAGAGAGGAAACTGCTTGCATGCGTATTTTTGACGCACTTCTGGTGAGTGCGCATTTAATTAATATATTCCCTACTCACATTTGGATCACTCGCCCTGATCTGCAGAGGAGACCGGGTAGAATTGACACACACGTACCCCTTTTGCATGTTCATGGACACTGGATTGAACATCAAACTTTTATGATCGATCTTATGACCTTATGTCTTCTTTTTTGTTTTCTATTCTATATACTGAATGAATGTTGATACTTTCACTAGCGCTGCACCTTTTTTGTCTATATATTATCTTGGAAGGTTATGTTGGTTGCCTTTTTTTGGTGTTCTAGCAGCTTTGTTATTATATCTTTATTACAGTAAGCGCTCGCTATACTACTTGTCTCTATTTCAGCATCATAGGTTGTAGGTCCTGCCCTCTTTGTGGTGGACTACTTCAGCATCACAGGTTGCAGGTCCTGCCCTCTTTGTGGTGGACTACGTCAGCATCACAGGTTGCAGGTCCTGCCCTCTTTGTGGTGGACTACTTCAGCATCACAGGTTGCAGGTCCTGCCCTCTTTGTGGTGGACTACTTCAGCATCACAGGTTGCAGGTCCTGTCCTCTTTGTGGTGGACTACTTCAGCATCACAGGTTGCAGGTCCTGCCCTCTTTGTGGTGGACTACTTCAGCATCATAGGTTGCAGGTCCTGCCCTCTTTGTGGTGGACTACTTCAGCATCATAGGTTGTAGGTCCTGCCCTTTTATTGTGGACTTCTTCAGCATCGTAGGTTGCAGGTCCTGCCCTCTTTACTGTGGACTACTGTCAGGAATGGACTCACCACTGGTGGTGGGACTCACCTGCCGTGTGGGCTGCAGTACCAGGGCTGGCCAGCAGGTGCTCTCAGCAGCCAGAAGCTCACTCCTGCAATCAAGCCATCACCTGAGGCTGATTGCAGGAGGTGTATTTAAGGAATGGCCAGGCCTGCAGTCAGGGCCTTGGTGTATTGGTTTTCTTGGCCCCTGTATCCTGATCCTGCCTGCTTTGATCCTGACTCTGCACGAACTCTACCTGTACCGACCTCGGCTATCCTGACCACTCTCCTGCCTGCTCCGAACAAGCACTTTGGAGATTTGCAGCCGCAGAGATGACTTTCACACTCGGGGGCATATTATTTCCTGTTGTTACATTAAACACCACAGCCTGTTCTTCCTGCTACATATTCATGGCCAGATGAGCGGGAGAAAAATCCCACAAGGTGTCTGAGGATGAAAAGAAGGGCTCTAACCTTTTCAAGACGTAGCATAGAGACAGCTCCGGCCTGCATTGATTATGGAAAGGTCAGCGGTGTGGTGTGGAGTTCTGATGTGTCCCTGCTACCATCATACATCACCCCCCCACCACCACCCATCCTTCCATGACACGGAGAATGGGCCATCTATCCTCTTGACAGAGTGGATGATGTTCATGCTGCTGACGGCTCTGCTTGGGAAAATGACTGCCGAGCTTCATCTCACCATGTCTGCATCGGGGAGATGTTATATGAACACTGCTGGCAGCCAGAATCTCCGAAGATTGAAAATGCTAAAAAGGAATCTGATAGATACAGAAAAAAAAAAAAATATATACACATGTGGTCCTAGTTTAAGAACCCAACTCTCTTCTAAGAGTTAACTTTCTTCGCCTTCCCTATCAACACCAAAATGTTTCATGGATCAATAATTCCAGATACTAGTAATTAAGTATTGATACACACCCTATATAACTGACCATCACCATACATGCCAACTAACCAAAATTTGCTGAGACAGTCCCACAGCTTGGTTTTCTGTCCCACCAATGCCCTGACCCGGGCCATGTCCGGAGATTATAGCACCATCTTTTCTTGAGGTATTATTGTAGGTATCAGGACAGCGAACAGACAGTCACCAACACGTAGAGGCAGGGTCTGGGCAGGACCAACACGTAAAGTGGGTGATTTGCATATACCCACCCAAAAAAGTCAATAGGGGAGATGCAGACCATAGGCAGGGTTAACAGTGTCCCATATCCAAGACCATAATGTTGGTAAGCATGTCGTTGTTTCCATCTACTATATAACCAAAAGTGTGTGGAACCCTCTCCAAATTATTAAATTCAGGTGCCTCCAATAAAGGGTATTGATAATACTAGAACATATAAAGTCTTCTAGACAATTGTGCTCTTCCAAACAGGTTGGGGAAGCCCTTTTCTGTTCCAGCATGACTGTACCTCTGTGTATAAAGCCAACTTCGAGGATATTGAATGGCCTGCACTAAGCACTAATCTCAACCCTTCTGAACACCTTTGCTCCATACAGACATGGTTTCACCAGCTTGGTGTGGGGGATCTCAGGTGTCCTGCATAGGGCCCTGACCTCAACCCTACTGAACACCTTTGCTCCATAAAGACATGGTAGAATCAGTTTGATGTAGAAGAATTCAAGTGGCTTTCACAGAGCATTGATTTCAACCCTACAGAACACCTTTGCTCCATACAGACATGGTTGGACCAGTTTGGTGTGAAAGATCTCAAGTGTCCTGCATAGAGCCCTGACCTGAACCCTACTGAACACATGTACTCCACAAAGACATGGTAGAACCAGTATGATGAAGAGGAATTTCAGTGGCCTGCCCTAAGCACTAATCTCAACTCTTCTGAACACCTTTGCTCCATACAGACATGGTTTGACCAGTTAGATGTGAAGGATCTCAAGTGTCCTGCATAGAGCCCTGACCTGAATCCTACTGAACACCTCTGCTACATAAAGACATGGTAGAACCAATTTGACGGAGTGACTACAGAGAACTGATCTCAAACCTACTGAACACCTTTGCTCCATAAATACGTGGTTTGAGCAGTTTGATGTGCAGCGTCCTACACAGAGCCCTGAACTCAACTCCGCTGAACACCTGTGGGTTGAATGGGAATGCAAATTGTGAGACAGATCTTCTCATCCAACATTAGTACCTGACCTCACAAATGGGCACAAATTCCCACAATCACCCTTCAAAATCTTGTGGAAAGCCTTTCCAGAAGAGTGAAAGATTGGTAAAGCCACAAAGGGAGGCCAATTCCATATTAATGCCCATCGTTTTGGAATGGGATGTCCAACAAGGTGTGGTGGGCAGGTGTCCACAAACGTTTGCCCATATACTGTATAGACACACAAACTCAGGAGCTGAATCTTACAGGGAACTCAGGTTACAGTTCATCATCCACCTATCATAACCAAATCTGTGTAGAATATTTCTGCGAGAAAATAACATCATTATTACTGGTAATAACGATACGCAAGACCCTCAATGGCCACTTTGGTTGGTACATCTACTCCTTAACCCAAACAGGCAAGCAGTGGAACGTGGCTGCAGCTCAATACATAAAGCAATGGAGATACGGTCATGAGGTTCGTTTTTTATTTCAAGATACGGCCGTTACAGATTTCCAGATCTCCAAGATACGCCCGTTCTTAACCTCGGAAACCACTAAGCAACTTATTCCCTCCCTGGTTATCTCTCGCCTTGACTATTGTAACTCCCTCCTCATTGGCCGCCCTCATCGCAGGCTATCCCCTCTTCGGTCTATCATGAATGCTGCTGCCAGACTCATCCACCTTACTAACCGTTCTGTATCAGCCACCCCTCTCTGCCAATCCCTCCACTGGCCTCCACTCAGTGTCCTCCACCCCTCTCTGCCAATCCCTCCACTGGCCTCCACGCAGTGTCCTCCAGCCCTCTCTGCCAATCCCTCCACTGCCCTCCACTCAGGGTCCTCCACCCCTCTCTGCCAATCCCTCCACTGGCCTCCATTCAGTGTCCTCCACCCCTCTCTTCCAATCCCTCCACTGGCCTCCATTCAGTGTCCTCCACCCCTCTCTGCCAATCCCTCCAATGGCCAACATTCAGTGTCCTCCATCCCTCTCTGCCAGTCCCTCCACTGGCCTCCATTCAGTGTCCTCTACCCCTCTCTGCCAATCCCTCCACTGGCCTCCACTCAGTGTCCTCCATCCCTCTCTGCCAATCCCTCCACTGGCCTCCACTCAGTGTCCTCCATCCCTCTCTGCCAATCCCTCCACTGGCCTCCACTCAGTGTCCTCCACCCCTCTCTGCCAATCCCTCCACTGGCTTCCCATTGCCCAACAAATAAAATTCAAAACATTAACAATAACATATAAAGCCATTTATAACTCTGCCCCAAATTACATCACCGATCTTGTCTCCAAATATCACCCAAACCGTACTCTCTGCTCTTCGCACGACCTCCTACTCTCTAGCTTCCTTGTCTCCTCCTCCCATGCTCGTCTCCAGGACTTCTCCAGAGCCTCCCCCATCCTCTGGAACTCTCTACCCCAATCTATCAGACTGTTGCCTACTCTGCTCACTTTTAGGCGATCTCTGAAAACCCATCTCTTCAGGGAAGCCTATCCTGCCCTCAGCTAATACTGGAATCTTCTACTCTTCCAACCAGTCCATCCCCCACAGTTATTACCTCTTGTACCACCAGCCCCTCCCTCCTAGATTGTAAGCTCCCAGGATCAGGGCCCTCCTATCCCTCTTGTATTGAACTATATTGTTGCTGTATTGTCTCCTGTTATATTTTAAAGCGCTGAGCAAACTGTTGGTGTCATATAAATCCTGTATAATAATAATAATAATATTTCCATGAACTCTCAGAAAGCTGATGCGTCATCGAAGTCAATTGGAATCTGGAACGATTGTCGGTGGGTGGCGTCTATACACTGCAAGGCTCTGGAGATCTCCACCAATTACAGTCCCTAGAGGTTAAAGGAACGTATCATTGGGCCCCTTGAATCTAAATTGTGATCGGTGTCACCATGTCTTCGTGATTCCGATATAACGGCACCTAATAAAGTGGTCACGGATACAGATATATAGGACAGGAGGAAGTCACGGGACGCGTTCCCTCTATCCGGGAGAGCAGAGTCGCTCACATTTGGGACACATTTGGGGCACATTTGGGACACATTTGGGGCAGCGGAGTAAACAAAGCTCTGGACTTAATTGTTGCCTAATCACAAAGTGTGTAATAAGTGAAATCCAATTACAGCGCTCATTCCCATATTTATAATATTAGGCAGCGCTTATTGACTTTACGAGCTGTGACACGGGAAGAACATTTCCACAGCAGATGGGGACTGGACCCAACCCAGGAATTTAACCCTCTCCGTGCTGTACCAACGCTGACACTGCAACAAGATCCATGTTTGATCCCTTCCAGATCGGGGGAATGGGGGAGGGGGAGGGGGGTTTACACCATTGTTAAGGACGTTTTTATGTACAGTAAGTAACAAAATATTCATATAAAAATGTTTTAAAGAACTTCCTTTAAGTCTGTTTCAAAGAAGTAGGTCCCACTGAGACCAACAAGGGTGTACTATATCTTCCACTGACACCAATGATAAGGCACTTCTTCCACTGGTACCAACAATAAAGCACTATTCCTCCCACTGACACCAACAATGGGGCAATACTCCTTCTACTGACACCAACAATGGGGCACTACTCCTTCTACTGACAACAATGGGGCACTACTCCTACTGACACCATCAGTGGGCACTATTCCTCCTATCAATATCAATGATGGGACACTAATCCTCCAACTGACACCAATGATGGGGTACTATTCTTCCCACTGACACCAATGATGGGGGTACTATTCTTCCCACTGACACCAATGATGGGGCACTATTCCTCCCACTGATACCAATGATGGGGCACTATTCCTCCCACTGATACCAATGATGGGGCACTATTCCTCCCACTGATACCAATGATGGGACACTATTCCTCCCACTGACACCAATGATGGGGCACTATTCCTCCCACTGACACCAATGATAGGGCACTATTCCTCCCACTGACACCAATGATGGGGCACTATTCCTCCCACTGACATGAATAATGGGGCATTACTCCTTCTACTGACATCAACAATGGGGAAAAAAATTACTTCTACTGACACCATCAGTGGGGCACTAACTATTCCTCCTACTGACACCAATGATGGGGCACTATTCCTCCCACTGACTCAATGATGGGGATCTATTCCTCCTGCTAACACCAATGATGGGGTAATATTCCTGCCACTGACACCAATGATGAGGCACTATTCTTCCGACTGACACCAATGATGGGGCACTATTCCTCCTACTGACACCAATGATGGGGCACTATTCTTCCCACTAACACCTATGATGGGGCCCTATTCCTCCCACTGACACCTATGATGGTGCCCTATTCCTCCTCTACTGACACCAATGATGGGGCACTATTCCTCCCACTGACACCAATGATGGGGCACTATTCCTCCCACTGACACCAATGATGGGGCACTATTCCTCCCACTGACACCAATGATGGGGCCCTATTCCTCCTACTGACACCAATGATGAGGCACTATTCTTTCCACTGAAATCAATGATGGGGCACTATTTCTTCTACTGATACCAATGATGGAGCACTATTCCTCCCACTGATACCAATGATGGGGCACTATTCCTCCTACTGATACCAATGATGGGGCCCCCATCATTGGTATCCCCCACCCCCACTAACATCAACAATGGGACAAAATTCCTCCCACTGACACCAAAAATTGGGCACAATTCCTTCCACTGGCACCAACAATGGAGCATTATTCCTCAACCACTGGACCACAACCAATGTCATTTTGTTTAATCCTACTAACAACCAGCACTAGGGCATTGTTCCACTGACAACTGACTCCGGGACATTTTCTCCCCCCACTGGCCACAGTCTGGCCCTCCTAAGTTATAGTGAACAGTGATGTGGAACTTTGTTAACAACATGTGGGGACTCTTCCTCCAGTGAAGGGGGTGAAAGTGATTGACAGAATAAGGAGAAGCGCCTTTCCAACCTTCCTCACCCCATGTGGAAAAAGTCTAATTTTCTGCTGGAGAGATTTATGGCGTCACGTCCAGTAAAGTCCTCAAATTCTTATCCCGGCGTTCAAACCGATTTCCACACTGCGGATCAGATAACATGCACAGAGCATAGCACTCCCAGCACAACCCGGGGTCACAGAGGGAGGGGAGAGGGGATCATCTGACAGATAGATAGATAGATAGATAGATAGATAGATAATAGATAGATAGATAGATAGATAGATAGATAGATAGATAATAGATAGATAATAGATAGATAGATAATAGATAGATAGATAGATAGATAATAGATAGATAGATAGATAGATAGATAATAGATAGATAGATAGATAATAGATAGATAATAGATAGATAGATAATAGATAGATAATAGATAGATAATAGATAGATAGATAGATAGATAGATAGATAGATAATAGATAGATAGATAGATAGATAGATAATAGATAGATAGATAGATAGATAGATAGATAATAGATAGATAGATAATAGATAGATAATAGATAGATAGATAATAGATAGATAGATAGATAATAGATAGATAATAGATAGATAATAGATAGATAGATAGATAGATAGATAGATAGATAGATAATAGATAGATAATAGATAGATAATAGATAGATAGATAGATAGATAGATAGATAGATAATAGATAGATAGATAATAGATAGATAATAGATAGATAGATAGATAATAGATAGATAGATAATAGATAGATAATAGATAGATAATAGATAGATAGATAGATAGATAGATAGATAGATAGATAGATAATTGGTGGAGGAGGGTATAGCAGATTGTTGGTGGAGCAGGGTGCAGCAGATTGTTGGTGGAGCAGGCGCTGCAGCAGATTGTTGGTGGAGCAGGGTGCAGCAGATTGTTGGTGGAGCAGGGTGCAGCAGAATGTTTGTGGAGCAGGGTGCAGCGGATTGTTGGTGGAGCAGGGTGCAGCACATTGTTGGTGGAGCAGGGTGCAGCAGATTGTTGGTGGAGCAGGGTGCAGCGGATTGTTGGTGGAGCAGGGTGCAGCGGATTGTTGGTGGAGCAGGGTAGAGCAGATTGTTGGTGGAGCAGGGTGCAGCAGATTGTTGGTGGAGCAGAGTGCAGCAGAATGTTTGTGGAGCAGGGTGCAGCGGATTGTTGGTGGAGCAGGGTGCAGCGGATTGTTGGTGGAGCAGGGTGCAGCGGATTGTTGGTGGAGCAGGGTAGAGCGGATTGTTGGTGGAGCAGGGTGCAGCAGATTGTTGGTGGAGCAGGGTAGAGCGGATTGTTGGTGGAGCAGGGAGCAGCAGATTGTTGGTGGAGCAGATTGTTGGTGGAGCAGGGTGCAGCGGATTGTTGGTGGAGCAGGGGTGTGCAGCGGATTGTTGGTGGAGCAGGGTGCAGCAGATTGTTGGTGGAGCAGGGTGCAGCGGATTGTTGGTGGAGCAGATTGTTGGTGGAGCAGGGTGCAGCAGATTGTTGGTGGAGCAGATTGTTGGTGGAGCAGGGTGCAGCAGATTGTTGGTGGAGCAGGGTGCAGCGGATTGTTGGTGGAGCAGGGTGCAGCAGATTGTTGGTGGAGCAGGGTGCAGCGGATTGTTGGTGGAGCAGGGTGCAGCAGATTGTTGGTGGAGCAGATTGTGTGTGTTGTCAATGCCAAGTTGGAGCGGCCTGTCTTCATACACATGGAGCCCCACCTGGTTCCAATCAGCGCGGTCATAAAAGCCAGGTGCGTGGCACGCCGCTCCAGAGGAGGAAAAGATCTGTCAGTTCTGAGTGACTGTTACATGCAGAGATCTGTCGATTAAACTTAAAAGAAAGAAAGAAAAAAGGGCCCCGAAACAGAGCGATCTATTCTTAGCTCACTTGTATCCGAAAGCTCCAGATTGACAGTCTTCCAGAGCCGAGCGCAGCAGCCGGGTTCAATAAAACTGCAAGCGTTGAGGTCCTCACATGCAGCGGCCTGCGAATCAATCCAACGCCAACAACTCGCCCACTAACAGGCACAAAACGACCGCGACAGGCACCGCGGCTGATCGACGCAACACACAGGTTCACTTTGCAGTCTGAAGCTGCGCTGACCTCAGCCAGCCAGTCACATGAGATCCAAAATCCGGTTTTGTTTTTTTACTTTCTTGCACACGATTGGCTGTTCATCTCACAGAACCCTTTTTATCTCTTTATAGCCATGTAACATGTTATGGTATGGGACTGATCATTGCTGGGAAATGCCACAAATAACTTTTTGCCCCCAGTGAACATGCTGCTCCCCCCCCCCCAGTGCTCTGTGCCTGCAGAGTAACAGCCACACCCCCTCATAAACTCTGTGCTAGCATAACTGAGTAACAGCCACACCCCTCGTATATTCTGTGCTAGCATAACTAACAGCCACATCCCCTCATATACTCTGTGCTAGCAGAGCTGAGTAACAGCCACACCCCCTCATAAACTCTGTGTTAGCAGAGCTGAGTAACAGCCACACCCCCTCATAAACTCTGTGTTAGAGCTGAGTAACAGCCACACCCCCTCATATACTCTGTGCTAGCAGAGCTGAGTAACAGCCACACCCCCTCATATACTCTGTGCTAGCAGAGCTGAGTAACAGCCACACCCCCCTCATAAACTCTGTGTTAGCAGAGCTGAGTAACAGCCACACCCCCCTCATATACTCTGTGCTAGCATAACTAACAGCCACATCCCCTTATATATTCTGTGCTAGCAGAGCTGAGTAACAGCCACACCCCCTCATAAACTCTGTGTTAGCAGAACTGAGTAACAGCCACAACCCTCATATACTCTGTTAGCAGAGCTGAGTAACAGCCACACCCCCTCAAACTCTGTGTTAGCAGAGCTGAGTAACACCCATACCCCCTCATATACTCTGTGCTAGCGGAACTGAGTAACAGCCACATCCCCTAATATACTCTGTGCTAGCAGAGCTGAGTAACAGCCACACCCCCTTATATACTCTGTGCTAGCGGAACTGAGTAACAGGTACATCTCCTCATGTACTCTGTGCTAGCACAACTGAGTAACAGCCACACACCCTCATATATTCTGTGCTAGCAGAGCTGAGTAACAGCCACACCCCCTCATATACTCTGTGCTAGCAGAGCTGAGTAACAGCCACACCCCCTCATATATTCTGTGCTAGCAGAGCTGAGTAACAGCCACACCCCCTCATATAATCTGTGCTAGCAGGGCTGCATAACAGCCACACCCCCTCATTACAAGAGTTCTCACTTGTCTTTTAGAGAAGGGGAGGGGGCATATCTGGGGTGTGTTACATTACAGAAGACACTAGGTCTAACTTAAGAGGCCCGGCACAACAAGATCTCCCTGCTATACCAAGAAAGTTCTAACAATCTGTTATTCCTATTGACATGGTGTCACTCTGGCCATATAGATTTGATATTCTCATAGCCATGGTGTCACTCTGGCCCTGACAATTTGGTATACCCATTGACATTACATCACTCTGGCCCTGTAAATCTGGTATCCCCAGTGACATGGCATTACTATGGCCCTGACAATAATTTTGAAGCTCCACTGACATGGCGTCACTCTATCCCTGTAAATATGGTACCCCTATTAGCATGGTGTCACTTTGGCCCTGACAATCTGTTATTCCCATTGACGTGGTGTCACAATTGCCCTATATATTTGATATCCTCGTTGACATGGTGTCACTATGTCCCTTTTTGTATCCCCATTGACATGGCGTCACTCCGGTCCTATAAATTTAGTATCCCCATTGACATGGCGTCACTCCGGCCCCATTATTATTATATTATTATTATATAAATTTGGTATCCCCATTGACATGGCGCTGCTCCGGCCCTGACAATCTGTTATTCCCATTAACCTGGCATCAATCTATCCCTGTATATTCAGTATCTCCATTGACATGGTGTCACTCTGGCTCTGACAATTTGTTATCCCCATAGACATGGTGTCACTCTGCTCTTGGAAGTTTGGTATTGCCATTGCTAAGCATCACCCTAGCCTAATACCTCCACTGTGACCCTGATATTTTTTTTTGGCACCACTTTGCTCCTGACAAATTCCTATCAGCCCCCCTGGCCCCGGTAAAGCTGGTAATATGATGTAAAAATCACACAATTTTGCCTTTACTGTTATGGCTTTGATCCAGCTTTGTAGCATCGATCTGACTTTACCGATGCTGTGCCATCAGGATTGCAGTATAGGGCCCCCAATGTGTCTTACCTCAACTCCTAGAGTAGAGATATTGGACCAAAGGGGTTAAACAGAAATGGTCC